GGGAGCCGGCCGTGCCGCGCGAGGTGGGTCCACACCCTGTCGGCCCGCGATAAGCTGACAGGGGCTCTCCCCGTGAGCGCCGCGCCGACAGCTCCCTCTCTCCCCCCTCGTGACGTGGCCTACCCAATCCGCGCGCGACACGTCGCGGGCTGGCCAGCTATCGGCCTGCTACTGGCTGAGTGCACCCAGTCGGCCTGCTGTGGGCTGACTAGGCCCAATCGGTCCGCAGCGGGCTGACGGTGTATTATTTCTAAAATTCTTTTTTTAAGCGTAATATTTGTGCAAATTAATAAAAAAAATTGTATTATTTAAAAAAAAATAGCCACATGCAAGTGAGAACAAACGCAAAAGGACAAAACACATTGGAAGAGGAATAAACAAACCAGCCGACAGGAGAGAAACATGACAACCAGGCAAAGAACGGGAAGAAGGACGTAAACAACGGGACTGTCTATTTAACAGTCGACTGAAAATCAATTCGATTTCAGTCAAATTTTCGAGCCAATCAAATTGTTGCGGTTGTACGTACGCTAACGGATCTCTCATTCAATTGTTTTCCCTGACCCGATACCAAAAAAGACCGAAAAGCTAGGACAGACTCAATACGCCCAAAAAAACACCTGACAAACACGACACATGAGAACACTTGAAAAAATAGGTCCCAAAAGTTCACTGATACTGTATACAACACCCAGACGAAAAAAACATAGGTACCGGCGTGAAAAGGCGTCACTTCTCCATCAACTTGTAGTACAGTCACAGTGTTAAAAACAGTAGAATCTACAGTTTAAATAGTGTTTCCATACAGTGTAATTACAACACAATGGCAGTGTAAATCTGACAATGAACTACAGAATTTAGAGAAGAGTTACAGTGCTATTAAGGTAAATTTCTTTACAGTGTAATTTACAGTAGACTTACACCAAAATTACACTGCAAATACAATATTTACTGTGAAGATTACAGTGTAATTTAGAGTAGAGTTACAGTGTAATTACAGTAGATATCTTTACAATGTCATTTACAGTAGATTTACACCAAAATTACAGTGCAAATACAGTGTTTACTGTGAAGATTTACAATGTAATTTAGAATAGAGTTACAGTGTAATTACAATAGATTTTCTACACTGAAGTTTACCCAAAATTACAGTGTAAATAGTGAAAGATTTACAGTGTAAATTGCAGTAGAAACATGTGTAAATCAATTGAATTACACCAGTATATTTACAGTTTTACAGTGGAGTTTACACTGTAAATCTGCAATTGAATTACAGTAGTAAGATATGCAGTCTTTACAGTTGAAACACTCTGACCGTAAATTGCTCACAGTAAGAGAGTGCTAGATGGACAAACCCCGAAACCTATCTAGAAAAATGATGTTACCTAACGGATGATACATTGTCCTATGTTACCGTAAATTGTCCTATGTTTCTTTTCCAAAATGTGCACGTATACGGAGCAACGGATGATACATAGCTAAGGTTATCACTAGAAAGTGAAGAAAATGCATTTCTGAATGTAGGCCCACATTCATTCACACAACTCCTACATTCAAAGGTAATATATAAGGTAAAGCAAAGAACAAACACCAAGAGGTAGAGAACTGAAAACATTGTAGCGGTTACATACTCTAAATGTACTCTTTATTGTTATCCTTCTAACTGGCACATACAACATCACTGGATTCAGATATGGAGCAGGCCAAAGAAATTGAACAAGGAAATTTAGTTACAAAGAAGTTCGAAATCAGTAGCAATCGATTTGACAAGCCGAATACTGTAAGAGGGACCTCTGTTTTAGCAAACTTAAGGAGGCACTCCATTCCATATCTCTGAACAACATCCCTGTACCTAGGGCGCAAGCATTGACAACAGTAGTGAAAACCTGCCAGAATATCTACTAGATACAATAATCAGGGGGGAGGGGGATTGAGAGGGTAGCTTACCACAATACGTTCTCCGACAGATGAAATCTTTCTCTTTAAGCATCTTACTCTGTTAAAAACATACAAAGGGAGAAAAAAACATTCAATTAACCAGAGAGAAGAGAGAAATCAAACAAGAGTGATAAGCAACATTAAAATTCACACACATGATTCATGTAGATGTGAAACAGAGCTTTGTTAATATTTCCATCAGTCTTAGATAGGTCCCGAGCATAAAAAGGGTATAGTTAGGAGTAAGTAATCTGGTACTATATGGTTCATGTAAAGCAAAAAGAGCAAAATAAAGGACAAAAAGTAATACCAATGCTGCATCAATTATTCATTATCAGCAAAGTCCTTAGGCATGAACGGTTTGTCAAACGAATCTGCAGTGTCAAAAAATGATTCGACAGGGCCACCCTGTTCCTAAACCTTGCGGAGTCTACCAATTTCTTAAAATTAAGCCTATAAACAGATTACATGATAAAATAAAAGAATAGAAAATAGAAATTAGGAAAGTCAGAAAGTGCTACACCGAAACTATTAAACAGTTGAACACCACTTAAAGGAACTGAAAATGCAAGACTTACGTTTAAATTATAGTAAAAAATATAATACCGTAGTGTAAGTTTCTGTGTGCTATCACTGTAACTATTTGCATATGTTATAATTTAAATTACATTAACCCAGAATTGATATTACAGTGAATCAAAATAGAAAATTACATGAACTCAACTGCTCACTGTAATCAGGGCAATTACATTGAAGAACTGAAACAAAATACATACATTACTTACACTATAATACTGATCCAACTTACACTATAAAATCCAGGCAAATTACACTGAAAGAATATGGGAAACTACACCGTAATACTGGTCCAAATTACACTGGAGGGGCATTACACACCAAATAAGGCTGGATGTAGAATTACAGTCAAAAACTGAGGAGATTACACTATAATACTGATGCAAATTACAGAGTAATCAAAAAAGGGCATGAATTACAGTGCAAATGCTGATACAATTTACACCCAAAAACTGTGGGATTTACACTATAAATACTGACGCAAATTAACATAACACAATTGGCGCATTAGACTGTAATTTAGAGATTCAGATAACAGTACAGTGAAATTCAGAAAATATTAGAGATACATTAGACTGTAATTCTAGCGCATTACAGTGTACTTCAAAGATAATTTGCGTAATAATAACTTGGTGGATTACAGTGAAATAAAGACACACATTACAGAGTAATTTGAGAGATACATCATAACACAACTGGGGGCATTGCAGTGAAATTCAGAGACACGATATAGACTAAAGAAACAAAAGTTGAACTAGTTGAACTACATTGTAGATCAGAGTTACAAATACAGAGTAAATTCAGAGCTAATCCAATGCTACTGGACCAATGCTACTAACACACCAATGCCAGCTGTAAATTCAGAGCTAGTCCAATGCTACTGGACCAAACAATCAACAAGAAAAAAGAATCCTCATGCAATGAACACTGAAACTATGGCAAAAACACTGAAAAGCATGAGGTTGCAGTGAAGCTACACAGGACGAGGTACAATGAAGCTATAGGGGCAGCTAATTGGGTTAAAAATCGCACAGCAAAACTGCATACAATACTAGGTAAATCTCAGTGTAACATACACTCCTATTATGGGGGAACACTGAAAAAACAAGCATAAAATTCAGGTAGGTACAGAGAAGGGAACGTCCAAACAGAGAAATTCAGTAACCAGCGGGATAAAACAACGGCGTGGAACAAAAACATGAGTAAAATTAGGGGCTACAACTACAACTACAACCCAATACAGAACAACCAGAACTCGATCTTCAGAAGTCAAGCCACGGGATCCACCCCTGAAAACTAACGCCTATACGCCTACCTACACATCAACAGCAGAGAACTTACGTCTACGCGTACATCCACATCAACAGTAGAACACTGCCCAGGGAAATGGCCTATGAAATTCAAACCGGGCGGGATTTGGCCTACATCCGCAACAAAAAACACAAGACCACGGCATGGAGGACTATGGCACGCTGCAAGCTCCTACAAAAAACTCAGACGCACAGGCTGAAGACTATGGCGCGCTGCAAACGGGCTGAAGCAGAAAACCGCGCCCGATGAGAAAAAAACAAGCCCGAAAACCAGCACAAAGCCAACAGGACCGAGCGTGAATCTCAGCAAGCGGCCAACAATTTGAATGAAAGCAAATTGAAAATCAGTCAGCTGAAAAATAGCAAATCCGTAAACAAAATCAACCTCTGGATGCGAACCATGCATGGAAACCAATAGGAAGTGCCGGCCATGCATGCCCATGCAGCCAATGTCAAAGTGAATTAGAATTCTCAGCGTTAATAGCTAGTTGCACACAAATGTGTACCCCTCCAAAGCCCCTACTAAAGCATGTGTCATATTCCGATTGGCTGCGAATCAACCTGTGGTTGAGTTGGTTAGGTGGACAGTGGTATCCCCAACCCACCAGGGTTCAAATCCTGGTGCTCGCATTAATTCTGGATTTATTTCAGGATTTCCGACGATGCGCTTTCAGTGGGAGGAGACGTTCCGGTTGACGACGAGGTGCTCATAGGGGTAGGGTGTGCGTGTGTGCGTTTATAGGGATGAGTGTATGCGCGTGTATATGAGCGCTTGTGTTTGTACTGATGCTCAAAAAAAATATTCCGATTCGCTAACTTTTCATTGATAAGCACGTGTCGAGAGGAGGAGGTGGTTTACAGGAGGAAGGGATCAGCCGGTTGATTTACAGAGTTTTCCAAAGAATATACGGTGTGTGTGCGGTGGTGGAGTCCCGTCCCGTCAGTCGGGCTTCCCCCGGTGTCTTGTTTCGTTAGGCTGCCCCTCCGCGGCCGGTGCCGACGCGATCGATCCCCCTTCAGCCTCGCCTTCTTTCTTGGATCCGAATTCAGATAAAGCTCTCCCTGCTGCCTCAAAACTGAAAATAATAGATAGAGCAGCCGACCTGGAGAGAGAGAAAGAAAGAGAATCGCTCCGCCTGATCTGTGCTCTCGAGCCTGGCGTCGTCGCACCGTACCATGGGGCTGCCGGCACTCAATCGGCTCATGTCTATGCAGCGCGATCGGCGTCGCCGGCCAACTCAAGGCCGCAGTAAGCCGCCCGACTCTCACCTCCCTAGCTCGGCCGTTCTGTTTATTCATCTCTGCCATGTGTTGTGTCTTCATGTCCTGATGACATCTAGTTCAGCACGTTTCTTTTAGCATCAACAGCCTATAACCAAGCTCTATTTTTCTTTGTTTGCCATTAATAATCTGTAATCTGTTCAATGTCTTACCAAGAGGGCTGGGCGGCGGTCGATCTGTACAAAATTTATTGTATCTGCCGTTTACAGTTTCTTTTCCCCGAAGAATAAAAGAGCAATATACCTGTAATTTTATTGTGTCTAACCAATGCATCGTGTATCGCAGATGGACTGGTGACTTCATCCCTGGCTAAAAGGAAGGACTCACCCTGCATACATGATGAAAATTCTCGACTTGATAAAAAATCGAGATATTCAGGACCACCCCTTCTAGAGGTTCGCCATAAGAATGCTGATAATTAGCAACTTACTTATATTGCAAGTAAAATATCACTGTGACGGTTCTAGCTGCGCAAATTGGTGGATCAATACTAGCTAAATAAAATTATCTCTTCATAAGGACTAGACTTCCTACTTTCCTAGCTATAGCTATCCCCGTACTAGTTGCTTCAACTTCTTCCCGTGTGATTGTGCTACCTCTGTGCTTTTGTTGGCTTCGTAGTCCACTGCGGTGCATATGTTCGTGTTTTTCACCGTAGCTGCTAAAGCTGTTGGATTCGTTTACATGGTCTTGTGCACATTTGAATGCTCAGATATAACTACCTTATTGTTAGTGTTATTACATACGATCCTATTTTTCCTTTCCAAAATTGAAGCAACTGTTCGCCTTTACAATCCCTAAGTTGATCTTTTCACCAATGCTTGTTCATGCAGGACATTTGGCATCATATACATTCTCTGCTTCCTCTGCGAGATGCTGCACGTGTTGCCTGCGTGTCTCATTCATTTAGAAGTTCTTGGAGTTGTTTTCCCAATCTCAGCTTAACTAGGGAAACACTGGGTTTGGATAACGGGGTGGATGGATTGTCATGTCCATGTGAAGTAGCGATGGATCTTGCAAGGAAAACCGACCATATTCTAAAAAACCACTCAGGCATTGGCGTTAAGGCACTCAAGCTTGAAATATGTGATTTCCCCTTTTTCAACACCTCCTGTGATCTCGATCGTTGGCTTCATATTGCTGTCAAACCAGGGATTGAGGAACTTAACCTCCGGCTTATTGAATCTCGTGCATCTCTTTGTCGAGAAAAATCTCATGCGGCTCTTTGTCGAAAGATATCTCAAAAATCACATGCAACTGTGTACAACTTTCCATGCTCACTTTTAGATGGGAGTGGCAAGTCGATCCAGCAGCTTTATCTCAACAACTGTGCCCTCCGTCCCACGGTTGCACTTGGCCGCTTAAGAAGCCTGACTAGTCTAAATTTTTTTTTTGTGCGTATTACAGAAAATGAGTTAAGGTGCCTTTTTTCCAGTTCAATTGCTTTGGAGAAACTGACACTCAGGTCCTGCGATGAATTATTTTTCCTGGAGATACCTAGCCTGTTGCAGCGGCTTAGCCACCTGGTTGTCGAGGAGTGTACAAATCTGGAAGTGATAAAGAGCAAAGCCCCTCATCTGTACAGTTTTGGATATCGTGGTACCCTAGTACGACTATCTCTTGGTGATTCATTGCAAAACCTATACATTGATGCTTCAGATCAGGACGTTGTTCATCATGCTTGTGCCGATCTTCTGCACGTGGTGCCAAATCTTGAAGCTCTTGAAATATCTTCATATTATCCGGTATATTCTTATAGTTTGGATTATTAGACACCAGAACTACGCAACAAGCAGTAACCTGTACTTTACTGGGATAATTAATCTAAATCATTTTTTATGCAGATGGATACACTGGTGGTACCTGGCAAATTTCTCCACCTCCAACGACTATGTATTGGGTTTTTTACCCCAGACTATGACTATTTGTCTCTGGTTTCTTTACTCGATGCGTGTCCTTCCTTGGAGACTTTTGTATTGTCCGTAAGTCTACAGAGTGTAGTAGAAGTTGTACATACACCCCTAGCAAAACTATGTGCAGTTTTACTAAGTTATATAGCATTAATACAAGTATATGTTTTGTCTTTTCACTGTTGTTATTGACATTGCCATCTATCCAATGTAGGTAGAGCCAGATCGCGTGAGGAAAGAATCAGTTTTAGGAAATTCTTCTCATAATCTAATCCAGATGCCAGGCCACATGCATAGGAACATAAAGGATGTGCATATCATTGGCTTCTGTTATGCAAACAGCATGGTTGAGCTAACATGCCATATACTTGAGAATGTGAAGTCGCTTGAGTACCTTACACTGAGCATCTCTGGGGATGATGAAATTTTGTGTTCTAAAAGTGAAAATGGTATATGCCTTCGAATGAACAAGTATATGAGGATGGAAGCCCGCAAAGCACTCTTGGCCGTGGAAAGACACATTTTGGGGAAAGTTCCATCTACCGTAGAGTTAGAAGTTGTGAAGCCTTGCAGCCGGTGCAATACTCTTTAAAATTTAGGCCAGGAATAAGGTGCTCTTCCCGTCTTTTAACCCAGGTGCATGTTTTGCCATTGTAATTTCTCTTTCTTGCACCTTGTGTGTGCGTGCGCGCGTGATTCTACACGGCCAGAATAAGTGGTATTTGCATCATTTCTTTTGTTCTTGTTCTGATCGATTAGGCTTGTATTTTAAGTGGGCTGTACCTATTGCACTAGTTGACTAGTGATTATAGTTGGGTACAAAAGCTGTGAGGTATCATGGTCAAACAAAAAGGAAAATATTTTTTTGTTCGAAGTAGGAATCTCGTCACATGATGCACACATTTATTTTATTAAACAAAATTTAGTGGCGTTGGTGTTTATATATTTATAAAGAGATTACATGTACAACTACAAGTCATATATGAAGCTACATACAAGTCTAATACCCTCCCTCAATTTCAACCGTCTTCCGCAAGTTGAGATTGCGCCGACAATTTTTAAACAAGGGTAATGGCAACGGCTTGGTGATGATGTCCGCAAGCTGATTTTTAGAAGAGATAAACTTGATCTGAAATACTAGATTGGACGAAAGGTGTGTAGCACCAATGTTATCACATCAAAGAACCGATGGTTGTCGTTGAGGTACTCGTAACTCACGAAGCAAAGACTATACCGAAATAAGTTCTACAGTTGCATTTGCTACTTGCTTGACAGCACTCCATGCGATCAGGTTGGGGCCGAAAGAGACCGCATACCCCCTCCCCCCCCCCTCTTGGATCGCGGATCATCAGGATTTCCTGCTTAGTCTGCATCTGAAAAAGGCTGAAAGAACAGCAGAGGGAGCAGGCCGAAGATGTTGTGAGGCGAACATAATGAAGAGTTCGCTTCACGGCTGACCGATGTGAATCCCGAGGTGCATGTAGGTGCAAACATATTTTTGGGCAAAAATCACTGTTCTGACTTGTGGTCGAAATCAATTCACAAACTGAACTGTTGGCAAAAAATTTCCGCTCCACTGATCCCTTCGTATAGAGCCCGACAGCCGGACGCCACACTATAATGTGCAACGCCTAACTGACAGTCTGGAATGCGACGCTGCCAGACTAAAGTTGCTAAGTCAGTGTGTAACGCCTGAGAGTTAACGCCTAATGTGTAGGCGTTGCACTAGTGGCTTCACCATTTGCAACTACAAGATGAAGCGGCCACTAGTGCAATGCCTAGCGTCTAGGCGTTGCATGCTGACTTAGCAATTTTCAGTCAGTCTGGGGTGCGACGCTGGCCAAATGTGTAGTGCATGTCAGTCAGGCACTGCATAATTTAGTGTGGCGCCTGGCTGTCGGGCGTTACATGAAAGGGTCAGTGGGGCGAAATTTTTTCACCAACAAAGTTTGTTAATTGATTTCGACCGCAGGTCATATTTGTCGTTTTTGCCCATTTTTTTGTCACATGTGCTGGGTGGTGGGCCCATCATGTCAGGGCTGCTGAGTGCTGACATATTTTTTGTCATTAAAAACCAAATTGTTTCTACGCCTATCCCTACACGCAGATCCAATCGCACCATGAGGTATCACGGGAGGGACCCTAGCACTGCATATTTTCCCGGCCGTCTCCTATGTAGTTGTGAACAGGGGCATCCCGTAGAATATTTTCCCTACCGTGCACGGTAGAGGAGCCTGTCACTGGGCCTAATTTGGTAACCCAGGGATCCCCCTGGGATCCTGGCCCCTTCCGGCCTCGTTTGGTTGTCCGGAATCCCGTGAGGATCCCCGTCGAAAACCAGGGCGCACGACCCGCGGGGCACATTAGGCCCGGGTAAGCCCACGACCCATTTGGCTGCTCCCTGACCACGGGTTTTCGTCCCCGATCTGACCCATTTCCACGGGGGAATAATCCACGCCTCGGGGGGTCGGGGAGAAAACCCTCAATACGACGGCGCACCGCCTCTCGATTTCCTTTCCTAGCTACCGAGAGCAGCACCTCCACGGCTCCACCACCTTCAGTGATGGTCAGTCAAAGTGCCTTCCCCGGTCCTCGCCTCCTGTATTGGGTGTTGCCAAACTAGCACGGGGATAGGGCTGAATCTGCCCCGTGGTGGGAGAGGATCCCTCTGTACTCCTAAAACTCCCCCACGGGGCTTACTACCCTGATTTTCTTTTACCTTGCAACCAAATGAGGCCTCCTCGGGTGCAAAGCCCTTGCGGAAAATCTGGCCCGGGCTAGCTGTGTGGACATTTGGACCCTCGAAGTTCGGAGGTTTTCTCGGCCCGATCCTCGCCATATCCCCGGGATAGGATCCACGCCTCGTGGCATCGGGAGACAATTTCCTGTCTCGCTCGCTCGCGGCACCTAGCTCTCTTGCCCACGCCTCGCTCGCTCCCGTCGCCTCCCTCCCCTGACCATGTGCTGCTCCAAGGCTGTGGAACCTACTTTCTTCCTTGATCTCCGCCTGTATCTCGCACTCACGGCTCCGCCTCCGTCGTGCTCACCGGCGGCGGCTGCCGCAACCGTAGCGTCAGATCCTCCACTAGTCATAGCTGATTAGACGGGCGACCATGGAGCTCTGCGCAGCCTGCCTACTAGGTCGCGCCACAAGCAAGGCTGCCAGCGATCTGAGGGCATCTCCAGCTGTTCGGCCCCCCCAGGACGCCTAAAAATCGCCCCCTGGGGGCGCGCTGGCGCTAAACCGCGCACTGGGGGCGTGATGCCCCCCAGTCGCGGCGCCCATGTTTTTTTTAAAATTCAAATACGGCGCAAACACGACTGAAATTTAACGCAAACATCGGCGAGTTCGTTCAAACTTAAACATATTTTACAAAAAAAGAAAAAAAAACTTCGGCGGGCTACCCCCGCCGCCCGCCTCGCCGCCCGCCCACGCGGTTTACATGCCGAGGAGGCGGTAGAACCGCGTGTAGTCGCCGCCGCCGTCGTTGCCGCGCCCTCCTGCGCCTCCGTCGTCCCTGCTGCATCCCTCCCCGGGTTGGCGGGGACGTACCGTGGCCCCTCCCTCGCTGCCCGCGGCAGGGACGCGCGGATGCGTGCGATCTCCGCACGCCGCGCCGCCCCGGTGGGTGGTGGTGGCACCGGCACACCGCCGGTGCTGATCCTCCACGCGCCAGGCACCCGCATGTCCGGCGGGACCGGGTACCCGGCCTCGTAAAGGAGGCGAGCCTCGTCTTCGTGGAGATGGCGGCGGCCGAAGCCGTTCGCCGCCGCGCCGTCACCAGGGAAGCGCTCGGCCATGGCTGGAGACGGCGAGAGAGAGGAGAGGGAGAAACGACGGCGAGAGAGAAGAGAGGGAGGAACGACGACGGCGAGAGAGTGTGGTCGCCGAGCACGCTGGTACGCGTCTTATATAGGCCGAGACGCCGCCTGTACGCGTGGCCGCCGTGTGTACGCGTGGCAGGCGAGGGAGGGCGAGGGACGCGTGTCGTCCGGCCTTCACTGCGCCGCCCGTGAGGCATCAATGGCGCAGGCTGACCGGCGCGGCAGCGCGGCAGCTTTGGCATTGATTCGCTGCGGAAAACGAGGCGATGAGGACGACGAAGGGGCGAGAAGAGAGCCGTGTCGCTGACGCGGCGGGCCCGCGGCTTTTTCGCGCCAAAAAAGTTCGCCCGGCGCCCCCGGGAGCCCCCCAGCGCGCCGGGTTCGGCCTGGGTCCGCCGGCGCTGTTTTCGGCCCAGGCCGGTGAAAATCGGGCTCCTGGGGGCGCGACTGGGCCGATTTTTCGGCGCCGGCGCAAGAAAAACGCCTGGGGAGGCCTTCTTGAGGGCGCGGCTGGAGATGCCCTGATGCGTGTAGAGCTGCATGGGCGCAGCTGGATCCGGGTGCTCCAGCGCAACAGAACTACAGAAGGCTGCGTCCAGTAGCCAAGGGGGAAGCAGTACTTTTCCCATCTGCCCAAAGGATTTGTTTTCATGAATACGCAAAGCTTGCGTATCTTTTCATTGATAGAAGAAGAGAAAATGAGTACAATAGAGGATACAACGAACCGAGAGCAGGGAGAGGGATGCTCAGCCCGAACAGGGAAAAGACACAACAAAACCCACCAAGCCTAAAACTTGAGAGGCAGATCGGATGAGCACAACATCGAACATCTTCAGAGCCAACACCGGGGACACCGCGAGCAAGCAAGATGACGCCTTCAAGAAGGGAAACGGCATTGTGAGGCCGTCGCCATCCGATCCGACAAATCGGACCTAGAGTTTCCCCCGAAGCTCGAAGAGGGGCACGTTGAGAGGCCATGACAGCGCCTCCAACAAGGAAAACGACACCCACGAGTGTCGCCGCTGCCAGCATCGGCAAGCCGAGTATGGATTTCGCCAAGTCTGTGTCCGTGCAATCCCATAGCCACCAGATGAGGAACTGAAGATGAGGAAGCCCGCCCGCCGATCGATCGCCACCTCATTACGGGGGAAGGGGTGGGGCTGCATCTGCCGCCGAAAAAACACGAGCTTTGGAGCCGACATGGCGTGTAGGAGGATGGGGTCGGGAAGGCAGCAAGGTAGAGAGCCGACGCGGATGGGTAGGGGTGACGACCGGCGCCGTCGGCAAGCCAGGAACCGGAAGGGGAGCGCACTTCCGAGCTGCCGAGGACGGAGTAGCCAGAACACCGGCGAGCCAGAGAAGCTGAAAAAGACGCAGCAACCCAAGCACCGGGGCCAAAATCGCGCCGGTAGGACGCCGGCATGCCATGGACACCGGAGAACGCAGGTCTGTGACCGTCGGGACCGGAGCGAAGCCGACAAGGATCCACCGCGAAGCTTCTACCGCTGCCAATGAAGACACCCGTGACCTCACACCTGCAGATGTCGGCGCCGCAGCTCGGAGGAGACGCCGTCAGTGACGGAGAGTGGCCTGCACGAGGCAGGGCCAAGCCTCGGCTAGCCCGGCCACCTCCACCCAAGGGCCTTGCGCACGCCCCCCATGAACAGCAGCGCGAAGAAGAAGGGCTGCGCCGATGGAGGAGGCAAGGGTGGGCGGGGAGGAGCACCAAGGGCATGCCACGCCGCCGCGCCGGATAGGCAAGGGAGAGGGCAATTGTTGGAGGAGGGAAGGCCGCCGTGCGCCAGATCGGATCTGGGGCGGCGGGGAAGGGGCCTCCGGCGCCAGGGAGACCAAAAACCGCCCTGCCGCCGCCATCCCCAGGCGCGGCGCGGGTTCCCCGGCCGGCCCTCCGGCAGCGGCGAAGCAGCGGAGGTGGTGGAGGGCGGGGCTTCCGCCGGCGGTCGAGGTTTCCCCCGTGTCGCCAGATGCGGGCGACGCGGGGATCAGAGAGTGAGCGTTACTCTCTTTTCATTCTCGTGCGTGCATCTGCCCAAAGGGTCATCTGAATTTTCCCCGGGATTTTAATTTGACCAAGAATATTCCACCCTGGTCATCTTTTCCCTTGAAATATCCACCCTCACGTCCAAACAAGGCCTCAGAGTCCGGCTTCCTCCCGTGTCGTGTTTCGTTAGGCTGCCCCTTGAAAATAAATAGAGCAGCCGATCGGAAGAGAGAGAGAGAGGGAGGGAGGGAAGAGAAAGAATCGGTTCGTCGTCACACCATGGGGTTGCTGGCACTCAATCGGCTCATGTCTATGCAGCCGGATTGGCGTCGCCGGCCAACTCAAAGGCGTAGTAAGTTGCCCGCCACTCAGCTCCCTAGCTCGGCCTATTCGACTCTGCCATGTCTTGTGTGCATGTCCTGATGGCATCTATATGCAACCAAGTTGTTTTTTTCTTCTTTTTTGCGATAATCTGTAATCTGTTCAATCTCTTACCAAGAGAGCATGTTTGCGGTCGATCTGTATATGTTTTTCTTTTGTTTTTGCGCGGGAGCACTCTATTGTGTCGGCTGTTTTCCCAAGATAAAAAGAGCGGTATACTTGTTCTCTTCCATTGGCATCTCCCTTATTCTAAAAATGATGCATCGTGTATTGCAGATGGATTGGTGACTTCATCCGTAGCCAAAAGAAAGGTCTCACCCTGCCTACACGATGACAATTCTGGGAGTGTTAAAAAATCGAGATATTCAGGACCACCCCTTCCAGAGGTTCGTCATTAAATGCTGATAATTTGCAACATACTACTTGTATTGCAAGTAAAATATCGTTGTGTCTGTTCTAGCTGCGCAAATTGGTGGATCAATTCTAGCTGCGCAATCTGTGTTCGTGTCATGTACTTTTAATTTGCTGTAGCTGCTAAAGTTGTTGAATACTTTTACATGGTCTTTGCACATTTGAATGTTCAGATCAGATTTTTTTAGTGTTACTTCATCTGGTCCTTTTTTTCCTATTCAAAACTGAAGCAACTATTCGCCTATATACAATTCTTAAGATGATTTTTTCTCCAATGCATGTTCATGCAGGATATATGGCATCATATATATTCTCTGCTTCCTCTGCGAGATGCTGCACGTGTTGCCTGCGTGTCTCATACATTTAAAAGTTACTGGAGACATTTTCCCAATCTCAGCTTAACTAGGGAAACACTGGGTTTGCATGACGGGGTGGATGGATTGTCATGTCGATGTGAAATAGCGATGGATCTTGCAAGGAAAACCGACCACATTCTCAAAAACCACTCAGGCATTGGCGTTAAGGCACTCAAGCTTGAAATATGTGGTTTCCCCTTTTTCAACAACTCTTGCGATCTCGATCGATGGCTTCACATTGCTGTCAAACCAGGGATTGAAGAACTTGACCTGAAGCTTTTATCAACTTATGTAGCTCTTTGTCGAAAAAAATCTCATGCAACTATTTGTCGAAAGATATCTGAGGCGGCTTTTTGTCGAAAAAAATCCCATACAAATGTGTACAACTTTCCATTCTCACTTTTAGATGGGAGTGGCAAGTCGATCCAGCAGCTTCATCTCTACAATTGTGCCCTCCGCCCCACAACAGGACTTGGCCACTTAAGAAGCCTGACTAGACTCGAATTGTTTCGTGTGAGTATTACAGAAGATGAGTTAAGGTGCCTTTTTTCCAGTTCAATTGCTTTGGAGAAACTGGTACTCAGGTCCTGCAATGAATTATCTTTCTTGGAGATACCTAGCATGTTGCAGCAACTTAACCACCTGGTTGTCATGGATTGTGGAAATCTGGAAGTGATAAAGAGCAAAGCCCCTAATCTATACATTTTTCATTATGGTGGTACCCTAATACCGCTATCACTTGGTGATTCATTGCAGAACCTATACATTGATGCTTTATTAGGTCGTCAAGATGTTGTTCCTTATCCTTGGGCCGATCTTCTGCGCATGGTGCCACATCTTGAAGATCTCCAAATATCTTCGTATTGTGCGGTATATTCTTATAGTTTGCATTTTTAGACACTAGAATTACACAACAATCAGTAGCAACTTGCATTTCGTTATGACAATTAATTTGAAGCATTTTATTATGCAGAGGGATACACTGGTGGTGCCTGGCAAATTCCTCCACCTCCAATGCCTATGTATTGGGGCTTTTAACCCAGACTATGATTATTTGTCTCTGGTTTCTTTTCTCGATGCGTGTCCTTCCTTGGAGACTTTCATTTTATCCGTAAGTCTACAAATTGTAGTAAAACTGTACATACACCCCTAGTAAAACTATGTAATGTTTTACTAACATCTATTTTTAATAAATATTCTACACTCAACCTTAAAATAGCAGTATACATTTATTTTTATATGCCTGGTGGATCCATGCATTAGTTTGAGTATATGCTTCGTCTTTTAACCGTTATGATTGACATTAACATCTATGCAATGCAGGTAGATGCGGATCGCGTGAGGCAAGAATCGGTTTTAGCAGAATCTTCGCATGATCTAAGGCAGATGCCAGGACACGTGCATAGGAACATAAAGGATGTGTTTATCATTGGCTTTTGTTCAGCGAAGAGCATGGTTGAGTTAACATGCCATATGCTTGAGAATGCGAAGTCGCTTGAGTACCTTACACTGAACACCTCTTCGAACCCTGAAATTTCGTGCTCTGATAGTGAAAATGGTAGATGCCTCCCGATGAGCAAGCATATGAGGAAGGAAGCCCGCAAAGCGCTCTTGGCCGTGGAAAGATACATTTTGGGGAAAGTTCCCTGTAGTGTGGAGTTAGAAGTTGTGAAGCCTTGCAGCCGGTGCAATACTCTTGAAATTTAGGACAGGAATAAGTGATCTTTTAAGCCAGGTGCATGTTCTTGGCATTGTAATTTCTTTTTCCTCGCACCATGTAATTCTACACTCGCAAGTATAAGTGGTATTTGCATATTTGTTTTCTGTTCCATTGAGTTACTAACTGCCGGCTGATTAGACTTTGTACTTTAAATGCACCAGTCTTTATTTGGCTGTATCTGTATTGTTGTAGTTGAGTAATGATTATAGTCGGGTATAAAAGCTGTGATGCGGCATTATGGAGTTAAACAAAAATAATGGTTACACAACATTTAAATGATGCGCGTACCATACAGTATTTTTTTAGAAATAATGCACGCTCCCTCCGTCAAAGAGTAATATAAGGCGTTTTTCTTAATGAAACTTTTCTATGATTGATCAGTTTTGTAGAAAATTGTATCAACATCTACAATACAAGATAAGTAAAATATATGTCATGATGAATCTAACTATACTCACCTAGTACTGTATTTGTATACTATGTCATGAAGAATCTAACTATACTTCCTTTGGATGGAAATATATGTCATGATGACTCTAACTATATATATACTCCCTTTGGATGGAAATACAAATTGGATCGTCAATTTACTCCCTTTGGATACAATTGGATCGTCAATCCCTCCCTTATACCATCATATTCACTTTTTATTGGCATGTGCCCACAATTTCTTTCAATTATAGCCAACCAACATATTCTTTTTTATCGGCACATGCATACTACCACCGGCAATAATTTATGGAGTCCCTTGTTTTGCTCATGATTCTCGAGACAACGTCCTTACTTTCAGTCAATCACCTTATTTCCATACAACCTAGGGATATATAAAAACTGGTGTGATTTAGTATAAAGCTCCAAGGTGGGATTACTCCTATCGTAATTGCAAGCTAGTTGAGTTGGTTTTGTCCATCGGCACAATATGATCCGACGGAAAAAGAAATGTGTGGTAGGGTCAATTCGGCCCACCCGGGGTCAAACGAAAAAATTTGTGACCTACATGCGGAATGGACGGAACAAACTCTATACATATATTTTTACTTTTTCTGGGGCCAGCTGCGTGGGAGCAACTATATGACACTAGTTCCATCAAATAGCGTGTGCAACGCACAATGGTTCGCGTCTAGGCCAGCCCACTGGAAGGCTCCTAAGGCGCAAGTAAAAATCCAAAACAATGACGCGTTGAATAATCAAACTCACGACCTCAAAGGACCTACCACGTGCTGCTAGCCACTGGAACCAACGCGTAATGCTAACAAATGGCCAGCGCCGATATTTAAGAACATACTGCAGCATCATATTCGAAACAATTTTTTTTCATTTTTTTGAACTTTCTATGAATTGCCAAATATTCTTGAAAACATGATTTTTTTTTTAAATATTATGAGCAATTTTTTAAAATTCCATACATTTTAACATGAAAGAATTGAAATGGGATCATTTTTGAAATTAAAAAACATTTCTTAAAAATATGAACCTTTTATTAAAAACATGATTTTTGTTTTTGAATTTTTAAATAATTTCTTAAAGCAGAAATATGGTTTGAACATTCAGAGCAATTTTACAAAATGTGCATTTTAAACGCGAACATTATTTTGAATTTGCAAGACATGAATATATTGGAATTTTGAACATTTTTTAAATGCATGTACTTGTGAAAAGCTCGATTTTTTTGGAAAATACAAACATTTTTTGGGGTTTTAAATAAATTTTAGAATGAGAACAAAAATTTAAAGTCCTGAACATTTTTCAAATCCTGAACACAATTTTAGAAATCTAAACATTTTTCAAAAAATTGAACAAAAAATAAAATTATGAACATTTTTGAAAAAAAAATAAATCATGAAAAAACGGAAAATTAAAAATAAACATGAAAGTAGAAAAAATAAAAAATAAACAGGAGAGAGAAAGAAAGGAAAAGAAAGAGAAAAGGTAGAAATAGAACACAGTAAAAGACAAAAATGGCCCAGCCCAGTCTTGGGCGCCCTTTGCGAAGCTCAGTATTTGCCGTGTCAGGCGGCAAATACAGTTTTCCAGCTGTGTGCGCAGATAAATAAGTGGGCATTCTTTGTTGGGGCAGAACGCGCGCAGCCCCCCATACAAAATTACGAAGAAAAATTTTCTTTTCTAGCAGACGGACGCACAAAATCATAACCGGCTACCTAGGCCGGACATGATGAAGCTTACCTCTTCGCTGATTACCAATAGGTTGATGCGTGTATCGATACTAATCAACTCAGTAACAACATGGGATGAACAGTTTGTGTGATCGGTATTTTTACCCACTGGCGCTGAAGCCATTTTGTCAATACCACTGTGCACAAGGAATGTTACTGATTTTTGGGCATGGAGTGGAGAGAAGCGGGGAACTTTTTCTGTCAAGTCAGCATACAGAATGATCATGCAAACCAAGATCACAACAGAGAACTGAATCGAGGAGAACGATGGACCGTCCGGAGCTGACCAAGAGAGCAATGCATGTATTGCATTATGGAAAACTGAGGTACCGTCGAAGGTGAAATTGTTTCTGTGGCTTCTAGCCTGGAGCTCTATCCCAACGGTAGACCTCCTCAAGCACAGTAATATGGCAACATCACCTATGTGCATGCTGTGTGGTGCCAGGGACTCGTGGAGGCATGCTCTTATCAATTGTTACATGGCCCGAAGCACATGGTCTCTTTCAGATGAAGACCTTGTTGATCAAATGATTCAGCACGACAACTACAATGCAAGGGACTGGGTATTCACGTTGAAAAAAGTACTGCCACATGATTTATTTGTACACATGGTGATCAACCTTTGGGCGATATGGAGTGCAAGGAGAAAGGTTGTTTACAATGATATTTTCCAGAGTCCCTTGTCAACCATATGTTCATTCAGTCGCAGCTGAACGATCTCCAAATTCCGAAGAAACTGGTTGAAGCGAGGGTGCATGCAAGAGCAGAAAGACCAACACATTGGCTTCGGCTATCGGGAGAATGGGCAAAGGTAAACATTGATGCAGTAGTGTTGGGTACATCAAGAGTTGGCTCAGCCGCTGCGATATGCAGAGACAAAAATGGCATGTTCCTATGTGCGTCGACAATTGTTGTTAGGGGTATACCCGACCTACTACATTAGAACCACTTGCTGGCCGAGAATCGATGGTACTAGTAGAGGACCTGAATTTAAACTCCATCCATGTGGCTTCAGATGCGAAGTGGTGATCGAGGATATCAAGCAGAAGACTGGAGCAAGTTATGGTGCAATCATACATGAAATCATAGAGTATTCTAGCACTTTTATTAGCTGTAATTTCATTCATGAATTTAGGAGCTCGAACTTCGAGGCTCATAATCTAGCGAAGCACGCTTTACAACTGGCGCTTGTCCATCATGTTTGGTTAGGCCACCCTGGTGACCTTTCTTCCGTCCATGTAAACATTGTGACGGTTCAATAAAACTTCATGAGTTTGTCTAAAAAAGGCAGACGAACGCACAAAAATTTAGTACCACCTAGGATAGGAAAAAACCAATGGTGAATGGATGAAAAGATCAAAGAAATGCACCTTACTTTATTAGTAGGTATAGATATAGATATAATGTTAGGAAGTTATATCATTCTTGTAGTTCATTAGCACTAAGTAGTAATAAAAATTAAATGTTGATATTGTGTATACACATGGATTCATTTTTGGGGAATCTTTTTTGAGTTCATGGGGAACTATTTTTAGGTAATCTATGTCTTACCTGCTAACCAATTCTTTTGGTATTACTTCAGAAAGTTAGGAAGTTATAGCATTTTTGACAACGGACTTGCTCCTCGAGAACTTTCTAACATATGAATTGCTCAGGGCCAGAAATCTATGGTTGCGGGAGGAGAACTTTCTAACTGCTAACTTGCTCTTCGAGACAGGACCAAAAATCTCAGCATCATTTGCAGGTTGCTTAGGACAGTCTTCGATACCAGAGAGAAAGGAGCCGTTGAATGGGTCCGGAGGTTGAAGCACACCGCAAAAAACGGGCTAGGGTGAGCCTCCTTCATCGAATTGTCCTCCACCCTCGGATCCGTCAGCAACTCAGTACGATACTTGGCAGCACCCGGCCCCACCACTAAGCGCTCGATTGAGGTAAAGTTCCTGTAGGTTTGCCCCAAGGGTGTCCCACTCTTGCTGGGTGAAAGGAGGACCAGAATTGTCTCTATTTATGGTGTCGTTATTGTTGTTGTCATCTCGAGATGGCGGAGGGGTGGAGGTGGGGGATAGGGTTTTTAACCACAGGCTACCCCTCCACCTGAACGAAGATACGATAGGCCGAACTGCCCGGTAAAATCTTCATGAAACCACAGACACGAGATGGATCAAAGCACAAAATCTGCATATGCACCGGTCCAACACGAGACAGAGAAACTTTAACAACATCAACTGGCTTTCCCATCCATTCAGCAAAGGCCATTAGAGAGGGAGAATTGCGCATAACAGACAACGCTTCATCCAATAGAACCCACAAATCGACCAGGGAGCCAAAGGTCTTGCCAACATATATTGCTTCCTTAACAGAAATCATAAGTTGGTTCAGTGGCAGGATAAAGCTGGTGCAAGTTGATATCATCTACAAACTCTCCTTAGAAGCAAAAAAAAACAAATTACGACGCTGAGATCTATTGGAATTTCCAACCCCTGCCCTCCATCCCCCATTCGTGGAGCAAGTCAATCATCATCTGCAGACTGACCTCTTGAAATTGCATTGTAATCACCGCAACATTGTGGACGATGGGCGTAGACACAACTACATCTACCCCACCTAGGAAGGACTTTACCAAAGTGCTTGAGGACCGGAGGCGGGGCATGATTGTTACGATCCATGGTGAGGTGGCCATCCTGATGGAAAATCAGTGAACGTCGCTTAGCATTCTCTAGTAGCATTATGTCGTCGTCTAGACCAGCTGTATCACCTGCCAGCCTCAGCCCCAACCCCCGAGTCACCTCGTCATCCTCCTGATGTGCTCCAGCGCCGCGTCGCCAGTCTTCCCCTATGCTGGTCACCCCGCCCTCAATCTCGCTAGAAGCGGAGCATCACTTAAGACTATGAACTTGGAGAAACCTCCCATGCTAGAGCGAGACCTGAGAGTGCCATCCAATAGTCACCAGCCTGATGTGTCATTCCCTACTGTAGAGTAGCACAAGGGGGTGGTGGCGGATCTAGGATTTGAAACCAGGGTGGTCCTCAATTTTTTGACAACAAACATGACATGCGAACGTTCTAAGTAATTACCAATACCAAAAAAAATCAATATGGTCTTACAATCATACTAAAATACTCAATTAAGTCTTGGTTTTGCATAGAAGAAATTACATAGTACATACCCCGAGAAGCTAAAGAAGACTATGTTTCTAGCCTATACTTTTGCATGGTCATGAAAGTATCAATTGTATCATCTTCATTCACCCTAGAGAAAACACCCCAGTCAATGTATGTGACTTTCCACCGATTCTACCACTTGGCGGATGGAAATTTTGCAGCTCTTAACACTGCTATAGTTGGGCGTTAGCCATTAGAGATTTTAGGCCAATTAGTCTGATTCACTCCATTGCCAAGCTGTTCTCCAAGGTCCTCTCGATGAAGCTGGTCACGATGATACACACCTTAATATCACCAGCGCAATCGGATTTTCGGTGGACAGTGCATTCACAATAGCTTCCCTTACGTCCAAAACTGCGTCAAAGCACTCCATAGAAGCAAAACTCCAACTCTACTTCTAAAACTTGACATTGCCAAAGCTTTCGACAATGTGTCCTGGGAGTACATACTATAACTCTTGCAATAGTTGGGTTAGAGACTGGATAGCTCTGTTACTCTCCACTTCCTCCTCGTCTTTCCTTCTAAATGGCAGCCCACGTCAAAAAATTCATCACCGTCGAGGCCTCTAGTAGGGTGATCCCTGATACATCTCCAACATATTTACAATTTATGAAGTATTTATGCCATTTTTACAACAATTTTATATGGTTTTGATATGATTTGAATGTAACTAACCCGGAGACGCTGTTTTCAGCAGAACTACCGTGGTGTTGTTTTTTGTGCAGAAACTGAATGGGCTGAAAATTTATTGTGATTTTTTGATGGCCAGAAAAAGAGCCCCAAAGCTTCCAGGAAGGGCCATAAGAGCCACAAGGGCACGACAAGCCTGGGGGGCGCCCCCCATAGGGCGCATCCCCTAAGCTTGTCGCTTCCTCGTGGACCCCCAGACGTGAAACCAACGCCAAAAATTCTTATAAATACCAAATACACCAGAAAGGAACCTAGAACTTCCATGTCGTTGCCGCAAGCCTCTGTACCGAAGGGATCTCATTTGAAGGCCTTCTCTGGCAAATTAGTTAAAGATGCAAATATAATGTAATGAGTTATGGTTGGGTATATTTACAAGTTATATTGTTATTGATCCTCCAACATGTGGTGCTTGTTTAGAATCTTTTGCTCGCCAAAATTTATGTACTAAGCGGGAATACTACGTGTGCATCCAAAATCCTTGAGCCATGTTTCTTTCATGAGTGTCCATCATATCTACCTACATGCGGTATTACCCTATCGTTCCAAGTAAATTTGCATGTGCCATCTCTAAAATCTTCAAATAATCATTTGTTTTGTGTGCTCGTACCACTCATGGAGCGACGAGGCTGTCAATATCATCCATGCATGCTAAGTGGGTTATTCTCATAATGGGTGTTTATTCACTTGTCTTTGCATGAGAGAGGCTGGTAATTTGGATGGCCAATCCCTTAAATAAGAAAATAAAGAAAGATATAATAAAATAAACTCCCACTGGAAACTTGATTGCCTGGAGGTCACACGTAAATTCGTCTAGCCATGACTTGTGTTTGTATGGATGAGGGGGAGCAAGCTTTTCATTTCCGGATGGGAACCGCCAATAATGTGTTTAGCATGGAAGATATTGAAATGCTTAGTCGTGACGTTGACAGGAAAAGCACACCACTCAAAATGTATTCATCGCTATTTTAAGCAACGAGCTCTCGCACCTCTTCAAATCCATGCTTCCCTCTGCGAACGGCTTATCTTTTTCTTTTTCTGTTAATTTTATTTTGTTGAGTCAATTTATTATTTCAACCTATTCTTTAGTTGGCAAGCATCATGTGGTGGGGAAAAATATAGACATATATATCCATTCAAATATATTTGATCATGAATTATTATTGTTGACAATTATCTCTATGATAAATAAGTTGGGAGGCGAAACATTAAGCCATATCTTTCTCCGTGTTCGATGCATACTATTTGTTCTAAATATATGATTTGAGTACTAGTACTACAAGAAATATGTCAACTTGCGACCATCATTATTGGTCGCTGAAAGGTCATTGTTTTTCATTTGCGACCTTTTTGTGACTGAAAATAGATGGTCAAAAGCTGGTGGTCGTAAAGTGAAATTAACGACCTTCTTTGTGATATGTAAAAGGTCGTTGGTTCCACGACCAAATTTTTGATCACTGTCAGCCTACTCGGGCCACGTAGGATCCAGTGTGGCAAGCTGACGTGGATAAGAACCAGCCCAGTCCAATTGGGTGTCTATATGGGCCAAGCCCATTAATTCAGACTTTTTAATATATATTTTTTCTGTTGATTTTCGCTAGCTACATGGGCCTGGCCCAACAATTTGGCATTTTATATTCTAGAATGCAGCCTTTTATAGTCTACTGATTTTCTTTTTTTCAGCCATTTTATTTTGCAGCAGGTCCCACTTGTCATGCTTAGCTCAAAATTGGTCCCACACATTAGAAATTTCGAAATTTGTCAAACAACCATTATAACTTGAACCCACTTGTCAGGTTTCCATTTCACGAGTATTCAAATCACATACACAATCATTTTTCAAACAGACCAGAGAGCAAATGAAATTGATCCAAAACAATACTACATTAATCTATTACAATCGTTGCAGTATATTACAACCGAGATATGCCTACTACTGCCTACAATCACAACACATAATATGCTACTCTTTGCTGATATGCTTCACAGCTTCGGACATGGATTCGCACTTCACCTGTGCAAAAAATAAGAATGAACATATAAGAATAAGAGTAGGTACAGAACATCAAACAGTAGCCAATGAGGGATCCAATAACTTATAATCAAGAATTGACAGCAAATGCCATGTACATAAATAGTATGACTAACACTAACCAGTATGCGTTCATGGAGATTTTTTTGGTATATAATATACTGACATGTGCAACTCTCTAAATTGATCATAGAATGAAAAGAAATGTAAGAACGAGTTTCAGAATCCAGACATGTCAAATTTTGAGCACCAGCAGAATAGATCTAACAAACCAGACCATGATCATCATGCATCAGGATTTATGGTTCTAGCAAAACAGTAAAGAGATGGACATACACGCATCAAGCATACCAGCTATTACAATAAGAGGTCCAAATGCTCCATGAACTGCACTTCGGCAATCGTGCACTAGCTAGGGATTGAGGATGAGCATGTTGTATCCATTGTACATGGGTCATGTTTAGCTACACAATTAGCTAATATGTCAACATTTAGTTACCATGAACATAAAAACAACAAACTCGGATAAGCATTAGCAGTGTAGTACATAATGTATCACTATAGCTTTGGGAAATAGTTAAGTCTTGTGGGTATCTAGTTTACTTGCATATGGCCAACACTAACCAGTATGAGTTCGTTCAATAACTAAAAACTACTCAGTAGCTGACAATGTATAGTTTACACATATAAATCGAAGATTCAGCACAGGCATGTTGATAAAACAGTGAAAACAATGGTATCTGGTATACTGCCATGCATGAGCACTTAATATTTAATCATCATCACAGCAACCTATAACCAGCTATGCTCATTGTTACAAATCTATGCATAGTTCAAAAAAATGACCTGATCTACTTCAAATCTATGCAGACTTCAAATCTACTTCAAGTTTTGACACACAACATAGAAGTAATTCACCATAGAGAGCATATAAATGGGCATGGGGATCTGAGACTCAACGATGACAGCAAACTAAAATCTCGGCCCAGTAATTAATGCCGGAGCCAATCGGACAGGCAAAAATTGTGGCGAGTAGGCTGAGATCGCCCCTAGAAAATTCAATTTTTTGTAGGTTTCCAGAATCCAGGAAGAACCCATCAATTCTACGCCGAAGCAGGAGATGTGCAGGCAGATCAAATAGTAGATTTGAGCAACAGTACATATTTCCCTAAACCTAAAATTTCCATAGTGCGTAAATCATGCCACTGGTCAGAGCACAACGGGGCTGTTTGGTTCGTGCCCCAACTTGCCCAAACACACTCAACACCACAATCACAAGTCCAACGCCACCAGAGGCGCCACAGAGGGATAAAGCTCACCTAGGCAGTTTGTAGCCGAGGCAGAAGCACAGCCGGCCGCAGCTGCAACAGAGTTGAAAGGGATGGCAGCGTGCTTCTTGAGGAACTTGTACATCTCCACCACCGTCCGGTCCCCCACAAAAGTTATCTGCAAAGAGTTTATTCAGCCAAAAGAAAGAAAACAAATTGAATTAGTAAATGCCAATGCAACATTAACAGTAAAAATTCTCAGGTTGCACAATTGACTAATGCCCCATGATGCCCATTCCAGCTCAACCCATGAGGCCATGAGCTTAGCTAGTTGTCTACTGAATTTACTACCATGAATAACCAACTGCTGGATTAAAATTACTTTCAGATTGTGCAGAACACGCTATGCACACTAACATACTGCAAACAAAACACTGTCATGCATTTACTGGACTATGATCAGGTGCAAGTTGATGAGAATCATCATGCTGAAACTGATACAACCACATCATATCCTTCTAGCGTTGCTCCTGCTAATAAAGAGGCTATTATTATTCTAGGGCCGCTGTATTCATCTCTAGGGCACAACAAAAGCAAGCCAAAGAGGTAAACTTCAGTCCCATTACAGAATGCAAATTCCATACTACAAACAGTACAGTGATTATCATAGCATAAACTCTATTGTCTGAACAAACATTTTAACTCCCACTGCGCTAGAGATAAGATGACATTTTGGATCAATCAGAAAAAGGTAATGCATTCATCAATAAAAAATGGCAGCAAAAGCAAGCCTAAGAACCAAACTTCACACTGAGTTTCCAATCCAAAACCTTACACTACAGACTGGACTATTACATTGGCCATCCGACCATTCAGAGCCAGAAGAAAGCAACATAGCTGAGACCTTGTCCTCCCACCAGTAGATGAACATGAGGTTGGCCCCCTGCTTGTCCATCTTGTAGAGCAAGTACCAGCGCTCGGCCACCTTCGATCTGAGCGCTCCAACCCCGGTCGCCAGCACGACACCTGCAGGCAAGGCAGTAAGCTATGGATCACAACAATATGCATCGGATGGCAACAATAACATCAACAAGTACAAATAGCAGCATCTCAATCACTCTATAATCAATCAGTAAGCACAAATAGCAGCAGCAAGAATTCTCTCAATCACAGACTACACTAATCAGCACCCCTCTCTCTCAATCTATCTCCAGCAGATGAAATAGCAATCTCTCACTCATCCCAGCCCGAGCCTCTCCCACCTCTCTCTCAACCTCATATCACCCGAACTCGTGAAGCATCTCTCACCTGAACTCGTATATGGGACATATATAATTTAGGAGAGCCACGACTCTGTCAAATTTCAATCTTATACTGCATTCGATCTAAACTAGAGACAAAAACCAACAAGTTCGATTGACCCGCCAGGATATACTACCCAAAATTCTGGTCCCGCACAGACCATCACCAAACAGTTCCGATCAATCGAACTCCGAGCGAAACAATAAACAGATGACGCGCGAGCGTGAGAGGGGATCGGTCATTGGCGCATACCCTGGAGGACGTAGGCAGAGCAGAGGAGGGAGCAGCAGCTAGGAGGAGGAGGCAGAGCAGAGGAGGGAGCAGCAACTAGGAGGAGGACGCAGAGAAGAGGAGGGAGCAACAACAGCACTGGAGCAACCTGCACACAAAACAAACAAACAAACACAGGAATCAGAAGTGAGGAGAAGAAGAAACAGACAAGAGAACGGATTCATGCCTTACGCACCCACCATGGTCAGAGATCCGCGATCGCTGTGGTCGGGCTTGCCGGAGATGGCCGGCTGTCGGCTCGCGTTCGCCATGGACGTCTCCGCCACCGCACTGTCGTCTCCCCGTCCCCATCCATCCATTGGTGGGTGGGTGAAGGGCTAGGGTTTCGGGCCTCATCCGCCCATGGGTCGGACAGACTTGAGGGAGGGAGGGAGGGAGGTCGCGGTGGTGATGGGGTTGGGGGAGACGGTCGCCGGTGGGGGTGGGGTTGGGTGTCGGCGGTGGGATTGGAGATGAATCGGGGGTGGGAGAGAGGAGCTTGAGTGGATCTACAGCCATGGAGGAAAGGGGAGATTTGGGTGGCGGGGGCGAGGGGAGAGGTGTGCGGCGAAAGAAAGGGGAGGACGGAGCGGCGGGGGAAGGAAGGGGAGGACGGGGCAGCGGTGGAAGGAAGGGGAGGACGGGACGTCGGGGGAGGGATCTGGATCGGGAAGTGGAGCGGAGGCGGGAAGGGGTCTGAGTCGGCTAGGGTTCACGCGCACATGAGAGAGGGGGGCTGGAGTGGGTTGTGTCGGTGTTCTGGGCATGGGGTCCCCAAACTTGCCTGCCTGCGGCCCATGGCATGGCTCCACCAGCGGCCCCGTACGACCCATCTTCACCAGCAAACATTGAAGACCCTCGTGAGGGGCCAAGCCTCGCGAGGCGGACGACGCAAGACCTCCTCAGGAGCGGCCTCACCAGGCTGGCTCGCGAGGGGCGAAGAGATCAAGGCGAGGGGCACCTCGCGAGGTTCCTGTGACGCAAGCCATGACGACTGGGACCAGGCGGGCGCCAGTACCCGCAGTGTCCTTGTTTTCTCTTTGGTGCTAAAGGGCAAGCGCAGATAAGGAGTCCCGAGGCATCAGGCAAAGGTTTCCATATCGGTGCAACAAGATCTAGACCAGCAGGACGGCAGGACGGAGGTCACCGTGGAGCCCAAGACGGCGTCACCACCAAAGCCCTTGGCAGGCGAAGACCACTTTTGTCAGGATAGCTTGTACTAGTTGTCTCCCTTCGAATTTGGCTGATGTGGGATCCCTTCCCGCTCAATATTTGGGAAGAGTACCAGGGCCTCTATAAATAGGACTAGCCACCACAATAGGAGGGAAGAGAGACCTAGGTCGAATCCATAGCACCCAACCACTCAAGTTCACCAAGCACAAGAACACCTCTCCTCGCGACGTTGTTCTTCCCTTGTAACTGTTCATCCTCAGCCCAAGAGGCAATCCACCACACCACACTGGAGTAGGGTATTACACCACAACGGTGGCCCGAACCAGTATAAATCTTGTGTCTCATGTTATTTGGGTTCGTCGAGCTAGGCTGTGAGACCGTAGAGTGTGCGAGCTAGAGAGGGGGAGAGATCTTTGTGCGCACCCCAGTGTTTGAACCTCAAGGATTTTGCCGGAACTCAAAATCCGACATTTGGCGCGCCAGGTAGGGGTGCGCCGAAGCTTCCTCTTCGTCGATCCACGTTTCACCACTCCGCCAAGCTCATGGCTGACGCTCGCCGGGCCCGCGCTGAGTGTCGGGCCGCTCACGCCACCCGTGTCTCTTAGACGGCCGTTGTCGGCTGACCTCCCCGTCGTTCTCCATCACCCGCCGCCAACACCGTCACTGGCACGGTGGTAAACAAGCAGCAAGCCTCTTCACTGCACCCCTCTATGCGGCGAGATGGTCGCACCGCCACCCCGTCACTGACTCCGGCCATCTCATCGTCTCACACTCGTCGTGCCCCCACGGACACACAGGCCGTGCTGCTCATGGCACGCGATCTCCTGCGCTACCGCCCGGTCGACGACCTCTACGAGGACTGGTTGGACCACATCGCCGAGCTTGTCAGCGTGACGGGGGGCTCTCCTGCACCATCCCTCTCGCTTCCTCGCCCGCCCCCAGCTGCGGGCGATGTGGCTCACGGAGTACCTCCGCCCCCTCAGCACCAAGATGGCGCCCTCGCGCCGAGGCATGCAGCTCATGGGGCGCCTCAGCCTCCCCCACGTCAAGACGACGTCCTCGCTCCAAGATGCCCGGCCCAGCGGCATGATCCGCCGTGCCGCGTGCCCGCGCACGAAGAAAGAAGTTGCCAGGAGGTTCCCCGTCCGCAAGAAGATGCTCCACTGCTTCCAGCACCGCCACGTCAGGATCCTTGCTGCCGTAGGGCCATGTGCCACTTGCCGTGACGGCATAGGGACGCCAAGGTCAAGCTCCACCTCCACGATGGGCCCTTGTGGCCACGGCGGGCTGCAGTGCCTTCACTCCTGAGTTGTGTAGCATCGTCTGGCCAGGCAAGTTCAAGCCGGATCTGCCTCCTTGCTACGACGGCACCCCCGACACTATGGAGTTTCTGTAGCTCTACGAGCTGAGCATCGAGGCGGCCAACGGCAATGAAAAGGTCATGGCGAACTGGTTTCCCATGGCTCTCAAGGACGACGCCCTCTCATGGCTCCTGAATCTACCCCCAGGCTCGATTTCCTCTTGGGATGAGATGCGCAGCCGCTTCATCGCCAACTTCCAGGGCACTCGCGACCGCCCCCCGGTCGCGGGTGACTTGCGCCGCGTCAAGCAACAACCGGGAGAAACCTTGCAGAAGTACATCCAACGCTTCAACAACACACGTATCAAGATCCCCAAGGTGATGGACGAGGGCATCATCTCAGCGTTTTTCGACGGTGTCCGTGACGTCAAGATGAAGGAGGAGCTCGCCATCCATGAGGAGCTATGCACGATCTTGGAGCTGTTCAACATAGCAACCAAGTGTGCAAGGGCTGAGGAGGGGCATCTGTCCCTCCTCGAGCTCCATGCTGCGGATCCAGAGGAGAAGAAGGCCAAGGTCAAGGACGTGAAGCGCAAAGGGGTGGCCGTGCTCACAGCAAAATCGGATAAGCGCGGCAGAGATCTTCCTGAGTCGTCCAAGGGTAGCCGTACGTTCTGCGCCTTCCACAACATGCACACGCACAACACCAACGATTGTCAAGAGCTTAGGGCCATTCGAGACGGACGCTTCGGTCGACGCCCCGAGCGCAACGACCGGGGCTACGGCCGAGGAGGTAGACGAGGTGGAGGACGTTGGGATGACCGTGGGCCCCACCAAGAGTGGCGCGACCGGCCTCGCGAGGATCGTTGGCACGACCGGCCTCATGAGGGCGCCTAGAGGGACCAGCCTCGTGAGGATCGCCCTCAGGGCAACCCTGGTCTCCCTCCGCTGCCGCCACCAAGAAGGAACGACGACCATCATCAGGACGAAGGGGCTAGGGGCTTCCAGGAACCGTGCGCCATCGCCTGCATCTTGGGCGGCGCTCAGGCCCCAGCCTCCTAGCGCATCTTCAAGCAGTTCTCCCGCGAAGTGAATGCAGCCCTCCCCAAGCTCGAGGCTACACGCCCGCTCAGGTGGTCCAAGTACGCCATCACCTTTAGCTCGGCGGACCAGCTCAAGTGCGCGGCAACCGCTAGCGTCCTCCTGATGCTCTGTTCGCCCGTCATCAGCAATGTCCAAGTCACCAAGACCCTCATCGACAGCGGCGCAGGACTCAGTGTCCTGTCCGTCAAGACGTTCGACATCCTTCAAGTGCCATACAATCAGCTCCAGCCCACCAAGCCTTTCTCAGGAGTGACAGACGGCTCGACCACCCAGACAGGGCAAGTTTGCCTCCCTGTCACCTTCGGTCAGCGCGACAACTACCACACCGAGCTCATCGACTTCGATGTCGCCCACATCCGCCTGCCGTACAATGCCATCCTCAGGTACCCAACATTGGCCAAATTCATGACAGTCACCCACCATGGCTACAACATCCTCAAGATGCTGGGAAGCGGTGGAATCATCATGGTCCCTTGTGAAGAAAGAGACGTAGTGTTCTCCCTTGAGCTCGCCTTCCAAGATGCATCAATCAAAGACCCTGACAGAGCGGGTGTGTAGTACCCTCCTGAGGCCAACCCCAAGAAGAAGAAGCAGCTACTCCGTACTGGGCCTCAAGGGAGTGGCACCTCCAGCAGCACCACTTCAGGATCCGCACCGGCGCCTGGGGTGCCTCCCTCCCTCGCATAGGGAGGTGCGCCCGGTGCCCTCCTCGGGCAGGGCTCGGGGGCTCTCTTCTGGAGGGCCTCAGACCTGGCCAACATCACGAGGGAGGCACTCGGGCACCACGTGGAGGTGTGCTTCGTGGCACGTTTCCCTCAGGAGGACACCGGGCGAGGAGTGCCCGGCGCTCAGGAGTTCATCACCAAGGCATCTCAGGAGCTTTAGGAAGCAAGAGCAATACGCAGAGACTGCCGCCCACCTGGCGTTGCTCCCCACCCAGGCGAGGGTGGTGAGCTGCGCGTCTGCATCGACATCCCAGGGCTCAACATGGCCGCATTTCAGGAGCGCTTCTGGCCTTCACGTGTTGGCCGGTGTGAGGGCCTGCCTCACAACTACATTCGCATGCCGTTCGGCCTTCCGAGCATGGTTGCCGCCTTCCAAGGCAACCTACGGAGCATCCTGGCGGGTCAGAAGGCCAGGCACCACGTGGTCTTGGCGGAGATGGAGACGGTCCTCTGGAGGCCACCTGATCCTCCAGAGCCTCCCGAGGCTCAGGGCCTCGGCGGCTCGTGAGAAGCGACTTCTTCGCTATGTGTCTTCAGCTACTCCAACACTCCTTTGGCAACCAAACCAGGTGACATTTTTCCAAGTTCATTCAGCTAGGAGCGCCCCCGGGCTGCATCATTGCCAAGCCGCGTGGGTCTGTCCATGCGACACGTATCCGCTTCCATCTTCAGTTCACTCTGCTGGGAGCGCCCCTCGGGCTGCATTAACCCCAGGCTGCTCGGGTCCAACCCAGCGGCATGTATCGTTCTCGCATTTACCTAAGCTAGCTGCTTTTAATGCGCAATATATCTATGGATATCACCTGCTCGATTGTCACCCACCATGGGAGCCGCGCGCCGATGGTCTTTCTTCAGGATCCTTCGCATTAGAAGGCCAGGCATGGCGTCTGTGCTCGGGCCCGTCCCTGCAGCATCGATAAATCCAACGGCCGAGCTCTATCTGGCGGGCCGACCCCGCTCACGTCACCTCCTGGGGTCGTTGGTGCTTGGCCTTCTCGTGCGATAGCCTTAGGAAATC